CAAAGAAATTTATAATAAACAACGTCAGTCTGGAGGAAGTAGTGATTCAAACTTTCAACATTTCTTCAATCGTCGACTGATAGAAAATATTGTTTTTGTCAAATTCCTAATTGCAATTATGTGCATTTCATTGCCAAATATTTAAGCCATAAAAGAATTATGATACAATTAACCAAGTTCAAAAGAAAAAGAGTAGAGATTCTATCGCCTTAATAGTAAACATTAAGAAATTAATGTATGAAAAATGAATCTATATTCAGACGTACCAGCAGATTTACATGGCAATTTATATTATGGCAGTTTTTAGATTTTTTTTTTATTTGAACAAGTCAGTTTTTTTACTTCCTAATGCTTTAGTTTTTAATTTCAAAAATCAGTTTTGCTTGAATTTGACCAAATTAATTAGGTATATATGGATTTTCATGATTATTTGTAGTAAAGACACTAATAATTTAATTTATTAATTCATAAATGTTTAGTGGTCATAATTGACTGTGTTAATTATTTCAATTAATTATTCTTTTTATCTAAGGTCTTGGTTCAGATGGAAAAGTCAGTGTCACAAGTGGGATTCGAACCCACCAGCCAAAGGTCGTGACTTTTCTACACACTGACTTTTCCATCTGACCCAAGACCTTAGATAAAAAGAATAATTAATAGAACTAAATTTATTTTTACATTGATTTATAATTTATTTTACTGTGTTAAGATGAAAACTAGTGTCACGAGAGGACTAGAACCGACAATCTTCGGCTCAATAAGCTGCTGCTCTTGAGCTTTGTTAATTCGTTCCTCCGGGCCATAAACTCTTCATCTCAACCTACAACTTTTTCTAAATTTCCCTCTTTTCAACATATATTCAAATTTTGTATAATCATGTTCACACATGAAATGGCCATGGGGAAATGTAGATACTTCAGGAATTATTATTTTAATCCATATGGTTTTTAGTTGTTCCTATTTAACCAAAATAATAATTACAATTGATTTATAATTTATATGTAACGCTAATTTTTGATTTCAACCACTTTATATAAAATTTATAAATCAATTTAAATAATTACAATTAATTAAGGTTTTTAGTTGAGATAAAAAGTCAGTGGCACGAGCGGGATTCGAACCCACGATCTTCGGCTAGATATGCTGCTGCTCTACCACTTGAGCTATCGTGACCTCGATCCACTCGGACACCAACTTCCTATCTCAACCCCACCTTTTGAGTTTTCACTCTTTTTTATCTCAACTAAAAACCATAATTAATTGTAATATATTAATTGGTCAAGCAGACCACAAAATTAGTGAATTTAATTAAATAATTATTTTTGTTAAATAGGGCTAATTAAAAAACATTGATTGGACAGTACAATTCACTTTTGATTTTTTCCCATCGAACCTATACTGTGTATGGAGTTCACTACACCTTCACATTTTTAATGGGAACACTGGACGGAACGGGTGTAGGAAGGGTCACAGAAGTCTCACTACAATTCACATCACTATAATTTTCTGTCACGTCTTCACCAGAATGACTTTTTATCCAGGCCTTTTTGTGCTTATGAACCAGATACAAAGGCTGAGGTGTGAACGATTTCTCTGGTTCAGTTTAGGCTGATTCTGTTGAAGGAACATATTCAGAAAAGTAGTAATAGTGGTTGCTGCCGTTGCCAATAGAGGACTCTTCACTCACACTAGTGCAGGTTCTTCCCCTGTCTTGCCTTTTTTCATGCCCACTTCCTCTGCTTTTTGCTTGGGAGATTGAGACTCTTTTTTATTCCATTTTTGCAACTCTATACCAGTACTGTATAATTTTATGAGAATTTTCTTCCTCTTCCAATTTGTGTGCTTAATAGTTGGCGGTTCATTGCAAGTGTTTATAGTTTGGTTGTTTCCGATCATTCTTGGGTTCCAAACCAGCGAGAATGAGCATTGGTAGTTTAGACAATTGAATAAAATGTTTCTGCTATTGGTTTTATTCTGGTGGTTGGTGCTATTCTGCTAACAATTGGTTTTAAATAATAGTATAAAGATAATCGTAAAAAAACAAGGTTTTTAGTTTTTATACGCAAATTGAACATTACAAAATGATCTTCCCTAAGAGAATTGTATGAATGGTGATAATGCTGTAAATTGTTGCTTATTTTCTGATAAATAACTTAGTTTGGATGCTTTAGAGGAAATCCTTAATATGACATGGTAATCTCTCCAGTATCACACCTTATTATTTAATTTATTGATAAGCACCAGACTCGAATTTACTAAAATTCTGGTTGGCAAAATGTTAAAATAGTCAATCCCGAGGAGTGTTATATCTAAATTTGTGGTTTTCTATCAAATTATATGTGTTCAGTTGAACTTCTTCAAAGAAAAATATTTTATTAATGTTATTTTGAAACTTGATCATTCGAATTTCTTGATTATATGAACTCCTCAGGAGGTCACGTGGCAATTTGAAAATTTTTTGTACATTTTGATACACTCAGTAATATGAAATATTTTTCGTAACATGGGGAGAAAAATCATGCTATTAATCGAAATGGAGCCACTTCTCATCTTTATAATTTGCACTTTTTCTTTGATATATTCCTCTAAAGTTGCATGTATTATTTACTTCCTTACAGACTAAAGTTTCTTCGAATTTTCTCTAGTTTGTTATGTCCTGCGATCAGTGTTTTGTCAATGTATTCTCAGCAGTGGTCACTTCAGAAAATTGTTTAAATGAAGGACATCAGGCCACATTGAAACAAAAGCCACTTAACGATTGTTTTAATAATGCATAACAATGTTCAATTATAAAGTTGATCTTTCTTCTTTTTCATTATTTTTACTGTATTTTATATATACAATTTAAGTAATAACTTGGAAAAATGCATATTAACTCTTAACATTTTTTTTTCTAACATCTTGATAATTAGAATTATTTTTGTAGTCCCTTGGGTTTTGAATTATCAAGTCAACTGTACCTGCTTTAAAATTTTGTCACTCTTTAATAGTTTATTGTTTGATAATTGCGTGGTCTGTTCATCGTCACTGATTTTAGTTAGATGTATTTTGGCATTTCGCCACCTTTGTGTGGGTGATTTCTGTGGATTCTTTAATAATTATTTATAATAGTTATATATTTTAAATTAGTTTGTATATTTACTTTTTACTTCAGTATAAGTCAGTTTTATCGTTATTACATTAGCTGGGTAAAATGATAAAATTATCATCAACGCATATCCTATTGGAACGGTAGTTTTAACATGGATATGTTTTATGCTATTTCATTTTCGTGTAATTGATGTCACATTGCGTGCGTGCGTGTGTGTGTGGGGGGGGGGTTAGGGCAGGTCAGGATGAAGAGTAGGTTTGTTTTAAATGGTCTTATAACTCACACATTAGTCAGAGTATGTATTCTGTTGAAGTTGATGTTTCATCATATAATTCACTAATTGAAAAATGGCAAAAAGGAGGGAAAACTCATAAGGTGGGGTTGAGATAGGAAGTTGATGTCCGAGTGGATCGAGGTCACGATAGCTAAAGTGGTATCTAGCCGAAGATCGTGGGTTCGAATCCTGCTCGTGCCATTAACTTTTTTTCATCTCAACTAAAAACCTTAATTAATTGTAATTTCATCATATATTTTAGGGGAAGTGTAGCATGAAAAAAGACTATTATATAGTGAGGAATTGTTGTGTTATTAACTTTATTTTAACTTTGCAATGTATTGAAATGTTTTGAGATTTCTCTTTGAAGTCTGCAGGATGATTAACCTGTAGTTAGGTTGTTTCTGATCATCCTGGTCAAACTATCCTTGCACTTTTGTGCTTTTAATTTTTTAAATATTAAATATACTTACTTAAGATAAGCAAAAAAATACAAACTATTTTGTCAGATTAAATAAATCCGCCATTGTTGGTTCATCAGTAATTGAAGTCAATCATAATTGAATTCAACAAAAGAAAATACATCTTATTGGCGTCACGATTTCAGAAATCACAGGAAATCAATTAAGGAATTTAAATTCACTGCATTAGTTATCTAAGAAGTTCATTTTTTCTGAGCTTTTTTTTTACATAAGATATATTATGATTTTTTTTTGTAATTCCTGATTTGAGATAACTGTGGAAACACATCGGACAATCCAGAACAGTGGGATTAAGCTGACCGTAATGATCTGAAATGGCCAAACTACTTGAATTATTTGTACCCTGTTATAACAGTTGCTATGTTTTATATTTGGGGCTGATCCTCACTTCTGACGTTCACAAAATGTATCAAAAGTTATACAGCTCATCCCTGGCCATTCTTTTTGTCTGCCTTGAAGACAGACGGATTATAATGTCTAGGAGTAATGATCAAATATACAATTATTGACAGGGTAAAGATGGTAGAAAGAAAAATAGTTGTATGACTGAAAAATATATTTTGTAATTTATTTGATTAGCAAATTAAAGAACTTTTTTATTATATGGTCAGGGTTGTATATGAGTAGACATATTTAAAAAAAATAATTCTTTTAATTTTTGCATGATGCATGCTTAGCGCCCACTTTGTGTAGACTTTCTAAACAGTTCTAAGTGAATAGAATCTTCAACATGGCTAACAGAACTGAAATTTCAGCAGGTGTGACAGAATGTGGGTTTAATGGCAAAAAAAGTGAGTTTCAATTTATCCCATAATACACAACTTTTACTATTTCTATATATTAAAAGAAAAACTATTTAACTTTTTAGGTTTTAGGAGTGCATTGTAAACAGGGAGGAAATGGAGAAATTAATGTTATTTAATAGTTTATTGTATTGTAAATAAAAAATATTTATTTAAAAACTAAGGGCCTGTATGTATTTTTAATTTGACCTTTATCCTAGTCTTCTGTTTTTATTTATTATGACTTTCTTTTATTTATTTTTTATTTGTTATTAATCCCAACTATCCTGCAGCTTTTTCTACCTCCAGTAGTCCTTTTTCAAACCTATCTTAACCAACAGGACTTGAACTTAAAATAATATGATTTTTAGGTGTTCATGGCATAGTAACACCAGGGAATCCGTTTCTCGAGGTGATATTTAACCCAACAGAAAACCATCAGGCGACAAAAGAGCAAGAGACCACCGATCACCTTTCAGAAAGATTCGAGTGTAATATTTGCGGCCGGAGCTACAAGCATCAATTCCATCTTAAAGCCCACGTCAGGGAGTGCAGCGTCGAGCCACTTTTCAGCTGTGAGATATGCCTGAAAAGGTTCTATCATTCGAGGAACCTCAGCAGGCACATGCAGAATGTACATAACCATCCGAAAAAGAAGTCGCTTCACCATAGCCATCACGCTCAAGAGGCGCAAAATCAAATGTCACAGCAGCAAATTGTCGAGCAAGTCACTGTCCCTATGATACTGATTCCTTCAGCCCAGCAGGTTCAGCAAAACCCTACTTTCGCCCTTCCAGCAGATCCTAATTGATATTTTAACATTGATAACTTTTAAGGGGGAGGGATTATTGTTTTATGTTAAAGGAAAATCATATTTGGCATTTTTAATATTATCTTTGTTCAGGGATATTTTATTAGCACTGTACCTCACAGATTTATTTATTTTTATTGTTTAGATTACTACTACTACTAGAATAGTTTATAAGATATAAAACCTTCTTTCCACAAGTTATATTTAATTTAATTTTAAAATTATATTTTCTTTTACTTTGTACTCTTGTAGCTTATTATTTTCAGTTAAAACAAGGACGTGTGTTTGAATATTTAATAACACCTTGTACAACTATAATGCACGATGGTTGAGAAAATTTGTGTTTATTTAAGCTAGCTGTTTAATCTGAATCGAAAATTATTACATTAAAATTATTAAATAAGAAGGCAAGTGTACAAAAATGATCTTGAGTGTAATCATGACTATTTCATCTTAAGGAGAAATATATATATTTTGTTTTGAAAATTAATTGGGATACAATCAGAAATGATGATCGCCATAGGTTACATGCTCATATTGAGATGCTGTATTGTTTCAATTTTTTGGTGGCAGTAATGTTTAGCACGTTTTTTTCTTCTTCGATGCTACACAGACGGAAATTTCAAGCATTTTATAAAAAAAAAAATATTAATCGATAATTGTATTTTAACTTGTTATAATTTAGTTTTGCTGTAATTTACAGTGTCTTTTGTTTTCACTGGGGATGATTAAGAATTAACTGTTTGAAAATTTAACGAAACATTTATTTTAAGTTGCATTATTCCTTTTGCGGCTTATATTGAAAAATATTTATATTAATTTTTTTGATCTGATAAACATCCTGTTGTATTTTATCATGTGGTATATTTGTAAAAAAGAAAAAAATTATTAATTTATTATAAGAAAATAATTAATTATTTTTATTGATTTTTTACATTTTATCCTAAATGTAGTTGGAATTTAATTATGTGTATATTATTTATTCATGAATATATAAGTTATATATTATTATCAAATTTTCTTTGAAGATACTGGGTTGTAGGGTTAAATAAACAGCCTTTTTTTAATTTAATTTATTTTCTTAAAAATAATTATTAGAATGTATTTGAGTTTTTGTTAAGTCCTGTATTTAATGTTAAAAATGTCTTGGGACTTTTTTTAAAAATAAATAAAGTTGATTATTTTGCACAAGAAATGCCGATTGACGTTTTATTAATCGAATTTCTTAGCTGCCAGATTGTAAAAACTTCACAAATTTTAATTTTTGTAAAGGTGGTTTAGCCAAAATCTCTTTTAATAGTGGATCACTTGTTTTTACATTCTGAGTACAAATCAAAATATGAAGAGTGAATTTTCCATTGAAAATCACTGAGAATAATTTATTATATTCTGCCTCAACCAAAATGGATATTTAATTTTAAATTGTCACTTTTTTAGGTATGTTGTGGCTTAAATTATACTGTAGCAATTGAATTGTGAGAAAAACTAATATTGTTTTTATTGCAGGTAATTTGTTTTGGCAATGGAATTCTCAAGACAAGAAATTTGGAATCTTAATTGTGGTGTTGAAAAAACTAAACAAAAACAAATGGTACTGATAAAATAATTATATCAAATTTCTATGTTCAGTGAGTAAATAAAATTAACTTGATGGAAAATTAAAAAAAAAAAATACAATAAAAAAAATAAAGAAGAAATATCCTAAAAGATTTCACGAGAATCCTTTCTCACCCCCCATTTACTCTTTTGCACACCTTGTTTATTGTTTTTCTCTTATTTGAAAGAACGCCCTAGGACGAGCAACTCTTCTATAATTTTTCTTTTTTCAGGGCAGGTTCTATATTTCTGCAATCGTTGTGGGCGGTCGTACAAATACAAACAGAACATGACCGCACATCAGAAATATGAGTGTGGACGTGAACCAAAATTCGAGTGTCAGATATGTGCAAAGAAATTCAAACTTAAGAGAAACCTCAATGCTCACTTGGCTATCCATCAAAAGATATTTTGATATAAAGTTTTTGTTTTGTGTTCTGATAAAATGAAATTTAAAGGTTCGGGATGTCTTGTTATGTTTATTAGGAATAAATTGTTTTTAATATATAATTTTTCTTTTGTTTTGAGAAAAAATTGATAAGGAAACCTATTATTTTTTCTTTCTTTATTATTTATGAGAAAAAAAAATCAAGATGCATTTAATTCCCTTCTCCAATCCACTCTCAAACACAAAAAGGATAAAGTTCTGGAATTCTAAAGACTCACCCGTTACAAATGTTTTCCAGGTCAGCAAAGATTTATATGTGACTGGTGTGGACGATCGTACAAATACAAACAGAACATGACCGCTCATAAGAAGTACGAATGCGGCCGAGAGCCTAGATTCCAGTGTGTGATTTGCCTTAAAAAGTTCAAAGTCAAGAGTAACCTCAAGGCCCACTTAGCCGTACACGAGAGAATATTCTTCTAGTACGCAAAGTATAGCATGTCAATAAAAAAAATAGAAATTTGGTCTACTTATACAATAACACACTGTGATATATGTAAATCAAATGTTCACATGTATATTATTACTGAAAGAAAATCATTTAAAAAAATTAAATGTTATATTTGGGCTCTGTATTTTTGCTTTTAGTTTTAAAATATATTAGGTTAAAAATAAACTTTACTGAAAATAAGTGTTTTTATCTTTTATTTGGTCAATACTTTTCTTCTAATTCTTGTCTTTTGTCAACTTTTAACAAAGTCCACTTCAGAATGAAAATTTTAAATTCAGAATTAATACAGCTTCAGTGCTGTTCTTTCATCAAATATACAAGCTCTGCGTTGTAAATTTTGGAATTGAAATTATCGAATTGTTAAAAATTCAGTGCAGGAACTAAAAAGGTATGTGGTGGTTTAAAGGAACTTTTATTCAATTTATTGTGCGAAATAAAATTCCAGTCATTTTTGTATTTTCTTTAAAGAAAATAAAACAATTCAAATAATTTCATTTGTTCTAATCTGTGACCAGATTGAAATATAGATGATAATTTTTGCATGCTTTGATTATTTTTTTGTTTTTATTATTTGTTGTTTATTAGTTAGTATGTTTATTATTAGTCTGTAGTTTTAATTTTAACTGTTCAACAGATTTTGCAGTCCTCAGGGCATGAAGAAGTGTTTTGTTTCTCTCAGGGAACTTTTCACTGACTGCTTCCAGATAGAAAAATGTCTCTTGAAACTTGTGTTTTGATTTTTAACCTTGTCCCCTGCACATTTTTTTTTTTTTTTAAAGAATCCATTATGATTTTTGTACAGTTAAAATCCATAATCCCAGCCGCAACCTCCACGTCTGAGGCTCACAAACAAATAAGCCTCACCAAATATTTATTTTCAGGTCTCTTCTTTTGCACAAACTGTGGCCGGTCATACCGCAAATTTGGGACGTTGAGGCGCCATGTGAAATTCGAGTGCGGCCAGGAAAAGCAGTTCCGCTGTCACATTTGCACCAAGCCGTTCCACAGGAGAGATGTCCTCAAAAGACACATGGTCACTCACAGTGCAAATATTCTAACTGTACAGAGGATTTTTAATTGAAAATAAGTCAATTTATTGATTATTATGTTGGTTTTTAATGTATATATTTTGGTTTAATTTTATGAATTATATATTTTATTTTTGTTGATTTTTATTTTTATTTCCTCATTTTATTTTCTATATCGGTTTTTCTTAAGATTGTTTTACTCTTTCCTATTTAAACAGATGATGCAATTATCTGATAATTACAATTTTTGACTAAATTTATACTCAATTTAAAAAAGTTCTAGATTGTAGGGCTTAATGAGAGGATTAAAAGAAAATCACTATTCACAGGAATGAATCAAACTCAGAGCATGATACAATCACTTCGGTGACCTCATTTACATCATCGTACTTTTATAAAAGCAGTTGTCATTTTTCCATCATATTTTGGAGGTATCATATCCAAATCTTATCTTTGGTTGTAAATGTTTTTAATTGAAGATATATTTTTCTCATTGTTTTTAACAATTGTTTTTGCTAATTTTAACTGAAAAAAGTAAACGTTTTACAGGACTTGACAAGTTTTTCTGTGAAAAATGCAACAAAGGCTATTGGAGGGTGGCGCACTTGAAACGTCACCAGAAGTACGAGTGTGGGAAGGAAAAGCAGTTCCGATGTCACATTTGCGCCAAACCGTTCCACAGAAGAGACGTCCTCAAAAGACACATGGTCATTCACAGTACAAATATTCTAACTTTCCAGCGGGTTTTCAATTGAAAATAAGTCAATTTATTGTTTTTTACACTGGTTTTTAATGTATAAATTTTGGTTTAAATTTTATGAATTATATATTTTATTTTTGTTGATTTTTATTTTTATTTTCTCATTTTATTTTCTGTATCGGTTTTTCTTAAGATTAAGTTTTACTCCTAATTTTTTTAAATTAAATTTATACTCAATTTAAAAAAAATTCGAGATTGTAGTGCTTAATGAGAGGATTCAAAGAAAATCGCTATCTACAGGAATGAAACAACTCAAAGCATGATAATCATTTCGATGACCTCATTTACATCATCGTGCTTTTATAAAGGCAATCATCAATTTTTGCAGGTATCGTAAACTGTCTTTGGTTATAAATGTTTTTAATTGAACAGATATTTTTTTCATTGCTTTAACCTTGTTTTTGTAAATCTTAACTGAAAAAAGTAAACATTTTACAGGACTTAACAAGTTTTTCTGCGAAAAATGCAACAAAGGCTATTGGAGGATGGCACACTTGAAACGTCACCAGAAGTACGAATGTGGCTCTGTCGAAAAACGCTTCACCTGCCCTATTTGCAGTAAGGCGTTCAGAAGGAACGACAATTTAAAACAGCATATGGTGATCCATTTGTGTGACAAATTGACTCTGTAAGCAAGTGGGCTTCCCAAATATAAATAAATAAATACCAAACACAAAGTACTATATTTTACAGCACAATAAATTATTTTTTTGGAGCAAAACGTTTGTAATTTTCTGCCCACACTTTTTTTACGCAATGTTTCCATCGATAATCTTTAAGCCGTACTACTTACTGAGTAAGTGTAAATTTGAGGTTTACATCTTACAATAATGACTTCAAAGTGGGATTCCAGTTTTTAAAAATCCACAATTAGATTCATTGTCAAAAACCACGATTAGGCTATAAAAAGTTTGACTAAGTTTAATTACAGGAATACTTCACATGTGCCACTGCGGAAGGAAGTACTCGAGGAAGGATAATTTTCACCGCCACCAAAAGTACGAGTGTGGGAATGTCATAAAACGCTTCATCTGCCCTACTTGCAATAAGGCATTCAGGAGAAATGACACTTTGAAACAGCACTCGGTGATCCATTTTTATGACAAATTGACACTTCAAGCAAGTAATGTGGGATTCACGAACATAAATAAATAAATGCCAAACACAAAATACAATATTTTACAACAGAAGTTTTTATTTTATTTTATTTTTATTTTTTTTAAAGAAATGTTTGTAATAATCTTGCGACCGCATGTTTTTACACTGTTACCACTGAGATTCTTTTATGCCATACCAGTTACTGCGTACATTTGAGGTTCGTGTCTTAGAAAAATAACGATTTCAAAGTAGGGGGATTCATGTTTTTAAAAATCCACAATTTGGTTCATTTTGATAAAGGCCACCGTTGGGCAAAAAATTTTTTTGACTAAGTTTAATTGCAGGAATACTTTACTTGTGCCACTGTGGAAGGAAGTACTCGAGAAAGGATAATTTTCAGCGCCACGAGAAATATGAGTGTGGGAACACGAGACGATTTCTATGCACTTTGTGCGAATGGACTTTTAGCAGGAAAGACGTATTAAAACGCCACTTCCTTGCTAGACATCCAACCGACAAATGGAATTGTGGAATTGAATCTTCTAATCATTGAGAAAAATCATAAAAAATATTTTATTTTTCTTAATGGGCTTGTGAATTTATATTAAATTTTCTATAATAATTAAAATAATGATGTCTTTTAAATTATTTCCAAAAGATTAATTAATCCTGTTAATTTTTTTTATTGAGTACATTAAATGAAAAACATGACAAAACATATGTTTCAGGATATACGGATAATCAGAAAAGCTGTGGAGATTTTGTAATAAAGGAAGAAAAATTAGATCACGAAGAGGAGTTTGATAATTCAAAGGAAGATTTCAAATGGAAACAATCGGTCGTACAACGTATGTCATTTCATTTTAATTAAATACCGATTATTGTAGCGAATTTCATTCTAGTGTTGAAGAAGTACAAATGCACCAACTGCCCGAGGAAGTACGCAAGAATTGGAACGCTGAAACGTCACTTACGCTTCGAGTGTGGCCAAGAGAGACGCTTCGCATGTCAGATCTGCTTCAAGACATTTTTTAGAAAGGACGTTTTGAGACAGCACATGGCCGTTCATACATGATTTTCGTTTTGTGCCTGTTCTATGAAAATCGTGCAATTATTTACATGTCAAAAAATTAAAAATAATTTTCATATTTGTTAAAACTGATTGAGAATATCATCGACAATACAAATATGATAAAACACTTCATGGCTTCAGAAATTATTTAATTTAATACTTGTCAGAAATAATTTTGTTTACTTTAAATTTTAGAGAAACGTTATTTTTTAAGAAATTTTTTAAGGGCAAACTTTTCTTTTAATTGTTGTCTTTTTTTTGTTTTTGTTTTTGATTAGAAAACGTCCACAAATGCGGTAGGTGTGGGAAGAAGTTGAAGAACAGCATAGTTCTCTACCACCATGTCAAATATACATGTGGAGTCGCACCGCAGTTCCAGTGCTCTGTGTGTCTCAAGAGGTTCAAAAGGAAGTTGAACTTGAAAGTGCACTGGATAAAAGTCCATGCATCGAAAAATTATATATAATACATTAGAAATAAGAAAATAAAAGAATACTTTTTTTTTTTTAATGAAAATAATAAAAACTAAAAAAAAACCTTAAATTTATTTATATTATATGCCTGTGATATCCATTTGATTTTCAGTTTGAAAATTTAATAAAACAAACTATTTTCTCTTTTTTTAATAGATAAAGTGAAAAAATAAAAAATTTAGGATCATATCGTGTATGGCGATCAGGTTGAGTATTGAAGGAGTTATTATCATCCAGTACTGTCTAAAGGGTAATTAGCAACAGCATCTAACAGCATTATATGTATTATTTCCAGGTACACTGTACAAATGTGCCGCATGCAGAAAGTGCTACCGATATGCCTCGAGCCTAAAGCGTCACATTAGGCTCGAGTGCGGCAAAGAGCCGCAATTTGGATGCAGGCTCTGTGGGAAAATGTTCAAACACAAGGGAAACCTTAAAGTCCACCTTATAACTCATAATAACAAGCTGACACCACACTTATTCTGACGAATAAAATGTGATTGATGCTATTAAATCAATAAAATCAGCTCCATTATATTTGTTTTATTTTATTTAGTTTTTAAACCTTTATTTTTGTGTTTGAATTTATTTGATTTGCTTTGTGTTGTTAAGGTTAACATTTTTCTTTTTATAGATGAAAAAATTTAAGCGCTTGGATTATGGTACCCTTCTGGGTTCAAACTGCTAGTCAATTCCATATGTTATTTATGAGGAATGTTAGGAATGTTAATGCGAAGCTCCCAAATGGTCTGTTTTACCATAAAACAAACCTGAATTAACATTGTGCGTCAAACCTTTAACATCACGCTAATTTTGAATATAGAAAATAATACGGATGCCACTGTATGTAAATAATATTACACTTGCTACTCGGTTTCAGTCGTGCTTTAAAAATATATTGTTTTATATAAAAGCAATTTAAATCAACAACCGAAAAGTCGATTTTTGTTATAAACACCACTGTCTAAAAATTGAAAATGCTTACACTATGAACTTGAAAGTCAACTTCATTTACTCACAAAATCAATTTTATTTTTGCTTGTGATATTTTACTAAAAGGTTTACATTATTAATAAGTTGTATCATTAAAAAAGTATGAATGGAGATGGACAGGCGCTTAAAAAAAACCATCAAAGGCTTTACTTAAAAAAAAAACAAATTAGATGTTTTGCTTTATAGATAGGTAAAAATTCAATTTTAAGGATTGTCTTTAAAAGTAATTACTTAATCATTATGATCTCAATGGGAAGAGCTTTCAAGAGTGAACTGCCGTCTGAATTTGGTTCGTAGGTTTGTAGTCAAAATGTAAGTACTGCGCTTAAAAAAAACCGTTATATCCATGCCAAACTAGATTATTCATATGGAATTTATTGCGATGGTATTAAATAAATTGGTCTATTTATTTAATTTTTTGTTTTTACTTTTTACTATCAAACCCACTGTATTTTCCTTAACCTCATATCCTCGATGATTGAATCGTATGGAAACGTTTGTTTCAGGTTTTTAACACGACATATGGAGTAGGAGGAGAAAAACATTTTTTCATTGTAATCCTAATTCAATTGTCTTAGCAATTTTTTTTCTTTTTCCTTTTTCAGCTCACTTTGGAAGATTTGTCTGTCCCAACTGTAACAAGAGGTACAAATGGTCATCCTGCCTGTCGCGCCACCTCAAACACGAGTGTGGGAAAGAACCAAAGTTCCAGTGTGAATTTTGCTCCAAGAAATTTTCACAGAAATCCAATCTGAAAAGTCATGTTGCTCTCAAACACCTGCCAATCTAAGGCAACAGCATGCTAATTTAAAAAAAATGGTTTTATTTAACAAAAATAAAAGAAAAATTAGACCTTTGAAACATATTAAATATCCGTTCGTTTGTATGTTATCTTGATTTCTCAGGGAAATAACTGTATTTTAGCCTTAGTATTAATTATTTATGAAATTTTATTGTTAGGATGCTAAAATGTTGATTTTATTTAATATTGTTGTGTTTCAAGTATTATATTTTGAAGGTTTGAGTTGAGGTTTGTTTTGGAAATATTTCATTCTTAATCAGAAATTAAATAAGAGATAATAAAGTAATAAAAGTTGCTAGATGTTTTTATTTATTCTTCACAAACAAAAACAAGATTTACAATACATTTTACATTTGTATTGAAATATGTAGCATTATATTTTAATAGCCCCATCACCAGAAAGGACACGTGTTTAATGTTTATTAAAACAGTATCGTAGGGAAAGTTTTTTGTGGTCTTGACTTGTGATTTCTGATTAAGTAGTCGTCTAATGTGTTTTATTTTGACAGACAAAAGGTTCGTGTGTGAATGCGGAAACAGATATCGCTACCGATCTGGGCTCTACAGGCACAAGAACTACGAATGTGGAAAAGAACCGCAGTTCTCCTGCGCTTTCTGCAGCAAGCGGTTCAAGCAAAAACCCAACTTGAAGATTCACCTGGCTTCCATGCACAATGCCAAGCTCCACCATTCATATATAAAATAAATTATGTACTGATGATTTAGCTTCCAAAAATGAATCTCCCCGTTATTTCTTAAATTGTTTTTTTTCCTTCTAACATTTCTTGTTGTTTAATACAGACAAAAGGTTCTTCTGTCATTGTGGAAATGGATATCGTTATCGATCAAGCCTTTACCGCCACAGAAACCACGAGTGTGGAAAGGAGCCACAGTTTTCTTGTCGCCTCTGCAGCAAACGTTTCACCCAGAAGACGACTCTGAAGAGCCACCTCGCTTCCATACATCACGTGTATGAAATGTCGGGACCAAAGCTTGAATATTTTTTGTGTGGATAATAGAATATTTTATACCAGCTTCATTTGTTGTTTTTATTTACCGGGATAACTGCTTTTTTCCTATTTTTCCCCCTTCTTCGGAATGGTCTGAAGTATTGACCATGAGTTCTGCACGTAGTATCATTAATTGACCAGCAGTAATCTAAAGACATGCAACCTATTATATAATTTTCCTGTTGTTTTGAAAGAGTTGATTTTTTTCCCCAAATGTATTGTGATCCTTTAAATACCATTTACACGATACGTCTAAAACTTTTGCCTTAGTTTAATGCAATTTATTAATAATAATAATAGTAAATAATTTGTTTATATGTATAAATATAAGATTGCCCACTATTATTATTTAATAAGTGATATTTAGCCATCTTTCCATTACACAGATACACAGATAAATAAAAACAAAAATCTGGGTTTTAGTAAAAATGGAAATTTTAAAATTACATTTGTATATTTTTCTTCTATGTTTTGAATTTTTAAACTTTAAACAAAATGAAATTAACCATTTTTTATATTTTAGTAATGTATGGTAAACATAATATAAAATAAATTTATTGAGCATTTTTTAAGTATATCTATGTAAAATTATAAATTAATGTATTTGAATTTGTTTCGTAGCTTCCAAGCCTTTCTGGTGCTGGGATTGCAGCAAGGGCTACAAATACGCTTCCGGCCTGTACCAACATAAGAAACACGAGTGTGGCCAGGCGCCAAAGTTCACGTGTACCCTCTGTGGCAAGAGGTTTTCTCAGAAGTCCAACCTTAAAAGCCACATCGCCAATACCCATGAAAAATTCACCTTCTAATCGTGGCAACCGCTTGTAGTTGAAACGGTTCGACGTTTCATTTGCATTTCAGCTGAACCATGTCTGGTGCGAGTGCGGGAAGAAGTGCAAATTATCTTCCGGCCTGCACAAACATAAGAAGCACGGATGTAGCAAAGGGCCTCAGTTCCCTTGCTTCTTCTGCTGGAAAATGTTTACTGCAAGTCAAATGTTAAGAACCATATGGCTTACATTCATAATGTTTCATGAATAAATCACATTTCAGTCTCTTTGACCTAGTCAATTTTTATTTACCCATTACTAGTTATTTTATTCTGATCGAAAATTTTGTAAAATACATATTTGAAATTAAACTATTTTAATATTAAAAAATTACTTTTGAAAAAAAAAATCAATAATTAATTATTGTATTGCGTTTATGTTTATATAAAGTCATTATTGTATTCCGTTTATATAAAGTCATCTTTTTTTCATTTTTGTTGTTGTTCTTATTTTCTCTTATAGATAGTTTTTGACGGTTGGCAGTGGCATAAACATAATCAACATTTAACTGATATAAAACATCACAATAAAATAAAGTTTATTATTTTCCTTGCAGTGGCCTAAAAATAGGGAAGAAATATAATGTCAGGTGAAAATGAATTAACACAAAATATTTTAAAAAAATCTATAATAAAAACACAAAATTGAAGGAGGAATTGAATTTTTGTCACTGCGTTTTTGTCACTTTTTAAAGTGAAATTTACTGAAAATGAATTGTTTATTTTTATTTTTAAAAAAACACATAACGTCCATTAATAAATCTATTTAAACATGTATCGTGACATTTTCATGTATAGATAATGGTCTGAGTAATTCCAAATTCATCAAGATAGTGTGATTATTGCACACTGTTGTCACATGGTGTTGTAAAGAAGTATTGTTTCTTTAAAAGAAAGCTTTTGAAAAAACAAAACAAAAACAACACAATAATTATGACATATCTGTGAAGTGGATTAAGCGAAAAGAGTGAAAATCGAAATAACAAAACCACTTCAGAAAGCTATAATCTGGACAAGAATGCTCATTTTAATTTAGAGAATTTTATCCACTACTCGATTAAGAAAAAACTTAAAAACTTTAAACGCGACTTCCCGAAAGTTAAAACCCACTTTCCTGTGATGCAAAATCAACTATGTTTATATGAGAAGTCTTAGTGAGGAGTTGTTACATTATTAAGAACCATTTTAACCTGGAGTATTCAGTGATGATGACACGAGACCAAAAAAATACAGTGTAAATTTAAAAAAGACAAACAGTTTTAAATAAATTCATTAAAAAATATTTTTATCAAACACGCGTCTTAATACAAAAATTTTATTACGTTAAGGAAACAAAATATGAGTTTTGTCATTACATTCATTGGAGATTATTTCAAACAAATTATTTCATTTTTATCCTACTATTAATACACACAAAAAACACTCCTCAAACTCATTAAAGGTCCCCCAGCGAAGAATTTTGTTATCTTAAGTTTAATTTTTTTTTCAGGTTAGAGTTTAACATCATCTGATTATTAAAAAAAATTACTCCCGATATTTTCAAGAGTTTTCACATTTTTTAAGGTTCAGCTGCTCAAGAACTATTTTATTATAATTTCTTGTGTAGTGATTATGTACAGATTTAAATTGTTTTAAAATCTCACTGTATTTGTAACAATACATTATATATTGTAAAATATATAAGCCGGGCAAAGTCGAAATATTTAATTTAGTAAAATGTTTCTTTGCAACATTTCCTATACTTTAAATTCTCTAAAATTCTGATTGTTTTACTTTGTTTTTTGAAGATTAGTTTAGCACGACTAGAGTGACTAATAAGAATCAACAATAGAAGGAAAAAAACAATTGAGAAAGATTCTTAAGATTGTCACCCACTGTGATTGATGTATGGTTTGATGAATGCTAGAAACTGAATCCCTAATATGTATTTTTCAATATCATTTATTTTACTTAATGGACAAAACATGGTTTTTTCATTACTGTTATCTTATTTATATTATCTCTCACCTCATCCTGTTTTCTTTCAGTCTGAAACTGTGCCCTAATATGCTTTACTCAAGAACGCACCCTTTTGCCAGAGACAATCAATGTAACATTCTTCCACCATAATCTAAAGCATTTCAGAAGATTTTATTTAAACAAATATTTTTATTTATTTTCTCCCATGCCCTTATATACTCTTTTCAATCTGGCTTCTGAAATTTTCATAGGTGGCAGTTCTCAAAATATAAAATTATATCCACTAGGGCATTGTTAATAATAAGTGTACTATTATTGTTCTACTTGATTTTTCAAATGTATGTCTCTGTAAATCATAATTTGCTTATTTGGAATCTGATGGATTTTCTTCTACTGCTAGTAATCTGATCTCTTATCTGATAGAATTCAGAAATCTTCTGAGACCTTTACTCTTTTTCATGTTTGTAAATGAACTTCTATTAGCTCTTAATTTCTCTCAATTTTATCAAATTCATTCTTTCTGCTTTTATATTTAAAGTCCTACAAGCAGAAAAAAAAAAAAAAAAAATATATATTGCCAACCTTTTTCTCATATCCATGGCTCCCCTATTAATTTTTGTCCTAAATTTAAAAATCTCAGCGTTATTTGTATGGGGTATACTCCAAGTTTACATGGCGTATCCGTGTAAGTTCTATTGTTAAAAATGTCTACTCTAGCCTTATTCTCTTTGACACCTTAGCTTTTTCTCTCCACAGAAAACTAAAGTTTTCAATTATTGAATATCTAATGTGTTCATTGTTTTCAAATAAATTGGAGTTTTAATTACCTATTTAAAATTAAACCAAATAAATGTCCTCAATATCTACCAACTTTCTTCCCCGTTCCTTATCCAAATGTCCCAATCATATCCCGACCATGCAGCATGGGCAAGACAATGGAATTTTCTTCCCCAGGAAGAACGTTATGTTTCCTTGCTGGCTTGTTTCAGGACCACTGACATCTGAATGCTCCAAAAGACAACACCCACAAATATTTCTGTTTCTGTGACTTCCAGCTTTGACAAAACCTAAAAATATTTCTGTTTCTGTTCTGTTCCAGCTTTAAGAAAACCCACAAATACTTCTGTTACATTCCAGCTTTGACAAAACCCTCAAATATTTCTGTTTCTGTAACTTCCAGCCTTAAAAAACCCACAAATATTTCTGTTTATGTAACTTACATTTTTGTCAAAACCACAAATATTTCTGTTACTGTTCTGTTCCAGCTTTGACAAAACCCACAAATATTTCTGTTCTGTTCCACCTTTGACAAAACCCACAAATATTTCTGTTTTGTTCCAGCTTTGATTTCTGTTTCTGTTCTGTTCCAGCTTTGACAAAACCCACAAATATTTCTGTTTTGTTCCAGCTTTGATAAAACATACAAATATTTCTGTTTCTGTTCTGTTCCAGCTTTGACAAAACCCACGAATATTTCTGTAATGTTCCAGCTTTGACAAAATGCACAAATTTTCTGTTTCTGTATCTTTGGCTTTGACAAAACCCACAAATTGTCTGTTTCGGTATCTTCTGGCTTTGATAAAACCCACAAATATTTCTTTTTCTGTTCTGTTCGAGCTTTGACAAGACACAAATATTTCTGTTATTGTAACTTTCAGCATTTACAAAACCACAAATATTTCTGTTCTGTTCCAGCTTTGACAAAACCCACAAATATTTCTGTTTCTGTTCTGTTCCAGCTTCGACAAAACCCACAAATATTTCTATTTCTGTAACGTTCCAGCTTGTTTCAGGTCCATTGGCATCTGAAGCTTAAAAGGACACGAATCATCTTTTCTTTTTCCCATTTACTTTTATTTTTTTTCTCTTCATGCTTTTATTTTAATGCGGTTTCATCCTTCGAAAATAATTGATATTTTAAAGAATATATTATTGCCATTATTGTTTTCTATATTTTGTTATTATTTTTGTATGTTTTAAAACTAAATTTATTGTAAAGATAGATGTAAGGGGGCTTAAAGGCATATTTGTACCTAAATTAATAAATAAATCAGAGAAAACTACGAAAACTTTCATGTATATCATGTAAGGTCACCGACCTGAAAATTGGTCGGATGTTACATTGTGCAGAAACTGTGTTTCTCTGATTCGTTTCAATTGACCAGTTTCAATGACCCCTCGG